ATTCAGGAGTTTGAATAAAGACCTGTGGAAGGGCAGCTTTACTTAAATTTTAAAAATTTAAATTTGACCAACTTTTTATATTTGGCATTTTTGCTTTCATAAAATTCTCAAATGCTTCTGGTTAAAGTTTCCCATTAGAATGCAAGGCAGCACGAATTATTCTATCTGTGCCAACAGAACGCCAATTAATTTAATGGCAAGTGATTCAGTTAAATTCAAAGCTAGAATAAAAAATTGTGACACGACTAGCATTGACATGGGTAACAGGTTCAGGAGGAATCATGGCCATGAACCATTAATAGAAAAACTTAAAATCTGACCTAATAATTAAAATTATTGGTGCAACATCTTAACTGCATCCAATGAAGCACTCTATATTAAAGCAGAGATAACAAGGTGTAGAGCTATTCAGAAATATTTCTGAGGAAGGGTCCAGACCCAAAATGTCAGCTTTCCTGCTCCTCGGATGCTGCCTGGCCTGCTGTCTTCATCCAGCTCTACACCTTGTTATCTCAGACTCCAGCATCGGCAGCTCCTATGATCTCTCTATATTAAAGCCATTGTCCTTAAATTTTTAATACATTTTAAATACGCACTTATTTTGGATTCACAGTTACTCAGTCCATCCCTCTTCCACAGCAAAAAGCAGAATTCCCTTTTGCTTTCAGTTGCAAGCGCAACTTAGTCTTCTGGGTGGAAGGCAGTAGATAGTTTAGCTTCAGGCAGTAATTATAGTGATGTTTAGTGATTTCAAGAATTGACGTTGTCAAGCTAGCACACACATTTGTTGCAGAAAACACAGAGCCAATGGATTTTATTACAACCTCATGTTCGCAAAACAATCTGCTGCGAATGGAACTGTTTTGCAAAAAGACTACTGTGGACATAATGCAACAACACACAGACAAACACAGAATACCCGAGTGGCCCATCAATATGCTAACTGAAGGTAGAATAATCACCTTGCCAGTCTGAATCAACAGCATTCTGCCAAGCACCATCATTCAACTTACGTGCATTTAGATGTACCATGTTTAGTTTTGGACAGTTATTAGGTCCTCAAAGAAAATTGAAAAGCAACGCAACATCTTTTCATTGATGATTCATTTCTCCAAATCTGCAATGCCATTTATAGGTGGTACATATAAAAATGAGGACATTGGGATAAGTTTTACTTCCATTGTGAAGAGGTCTAGCAAATAACTGGGGAGAGGCCAGAGAAGAGTCAGGTCGATAAAGAACCAAGTTCACTCATTTAACAACGACTGACTGTAAATTTAAGTCTAACCTCCAGCCTTCAAAATTATCTAAAAAGTATGAATAATCTAAAGAATTCAGAAATTGTACTCACCTTTTCCTCTAATGAACAGAAGCCCTTGTTTCCAAGTTGTATTCAATTTTTGCAAGAGCGCTTTTCTGCAACATCTTAATTGCATCCATTGAAGCTAATGATTAATGGTTCTTTAGGAGGTGCACACGGTCTGTAAATGCTATAATAATTTCTGCAATAGCGAGGACTTATTGAAAATGTGACTGCAATGCTGGTGCGAACTAAATGTTAGACGAATTTTTACAAATATTTCTTTCCTCCAACTTTAGAAAAGCTCACGATTCAAGACTATTTACATGTAAACAACAATCCAAGTCAGGTTTTCAATGTTAACTTGGTTTGATAACATTACCAAGAATATAACTTCTATCCACACAACTACCTGACAGTAGATAAAATATATACTGACCAACATGTTAATTACGACAAAGGTTTCCATTTAGAAAAATTTTAGTCATAGAACCATGTGACAGTGCAATACCAAAGGCATACATGCCACTGCCCATTCCAATTTACCCAACTGGCCAAACATCCATTAAATTCAAACTGTATGCTATCCTTCTATCTAGACCCAAGCTATAATACTACCCATCCATCAACCACACAAAACTTAAGAATATACACAAGGTAGTACTCAAGAATGGCCTGTATGTCCAGATGACTCAAACCATAGATGCATTGGTTTGTGAAAAGATGCCAGGACATGGATAAGCTTATTGTGACTAGAACTGAATTTGTAGTGGTATAAAAGACTTTAAAGGGTAATGGCTAGCTAAAACACAGCAAGACCATGTTTTTTTTTCTTCAAATATGCTGGAATTAATTAGATTTGTCTAATATTAAAAACATAATTAAGATCAAATCTCTAAATCAGGAGCCATCTTGAGTACATGGAGACTTCATTTTTGCTCACCTTTCAATTCAGCTGATTTCTGAAAAGGCATTTGTTTAAAAAATGTTTTGCAGTCAAATTGGGGAGCTGCACAGACAACTGTGGATATTTAGAATCACAACTGTATAGGTAGTTGAACAGCATAATACAGAAGTTTAACCATGATAATTATGTGCTCTGAATGACCAAGCACTCTCTGTTTAGACAGGACAGGAAAATGAAAGAGCATTGACCACATTCCTTTAATGGTTTGGATTTGATAGCAACACTCTTTAAAATGCCAGTATGTGTAAAAGTAACTTACAGTCTTACCCACAAGTTACATTTAAAATAAATTTGTATATTTTGTACACATACACAAAAAAGGGGATTGAGATAAACTAATCAGCATTTGTCTCTAAAAATAATAATGATTTCGATCTGGTTATATGGTAATACCCTCGGAACAGGTTGACACCATACCACAATCTAACATTTCAATGCATTATCCAGTTTTTCTTTTAATTGGGAATTAAATACTTGCAAAATAAACTTCATGAAGTAAACTGGAACGAAATGTGATGGGTGTGAGGGTTGGGGTTAAAGTTAAAGTAATGGAGGAGTCCAAAAATATCATGGAAAATAAAGCAACTTGGCCAAAAACAGCATAGGCCACTGAATTTACTAAGTAATTGAAAAACCATTGACAGTCTTGCGATAGAGTAAACTTCTAAGGCCCTGGCTGAACAGGAATGCCTTCTAGTTGGTGCTATAAATTAACAGTTCCCCATGTCCAACATGCTGCAGATGCAACCAGAAGAATTCCAGTATGGAAGGTACAAAATGTGATAGGCCTCCAGAAACTGCCTTCAAATTTGCAGTGGCCATCTAAATGAGATGCATCCAATTTCAGAAGCTAATAAGGGCTGGAGATAACAGCAGCTTTGATTCCTTCTTAGAAGAAGCAGGAAAGAGAGCTCTGGAGGATTGCAAACGTTAAATGCACGCTCAAATTAGGGAAAAAAAAAAGAACAAATCCCAGAAACTACTTGCCAGTCTGGTGAATGCCTGTGGCAGGGAAACTGACAGGCTGAGGAAAAAACAAAAGAAAAAACACCAACTGCAAAAACAGCGTTGACAGGCAAAGATTGTTAGAGGCACCTTATCGATGCCTAACTTAAGCTTGAATGAGTTGGAGTTTATGAATACAGCACCTGACAAAGTAGCACAAGAGAATGAGCAATAAAAGTGAAGCTCATGAAATTATGTGAAATTAGCCAAGAGGTAAAATTGAGTTTTTGAAAAATGGCTGTTTTGCAAACTGGACAGAAGTAAAAAGTGTGTCTTGGAGCACCCCTACCAACTGTTATCAGCAGATGTGCTTTTTTTAAGATATTAATGGTAGTCTTGGGTAGACAGCACATAATTTTAAAAAAGTTTGTAGATTACAGAGTTCTGAAAAGTAGTAAAATGTGAAGATTGTACAGACTTCTGGAGGACACAGATTGCTGAAACGAACAGACAAATTAAACACAAAGTATGAAATGACATTTTGATATCAAGAATTGTTTGGTGGGGGAACAACAAAATTTTAAATGGAGTGCAAAAATCAACATTCAAGTTACATATATTTAAATCTTTCATGATGGTTAAGTTGTCATTAAAGGGTGATAGTCTTGGCTTGATCGGAAATTCTGAACACAAATGAACCAAATTATACTGATCTGCTGTAAAACATTAGTTAGGACCCAGCCAAAGCACTGGAGCCAATTCTGAGCACCCAATTTTAGCAAAAGACGTTAAAACTTTGGAAGGATGCAGAGAAATTACTCGATTTGTGCCAGGGATAAGAAGCTAACAAGGCTAGGGCTGGTCTCCTTAGAGTAGGAAATCCTGCAGGGAGATTTAGCAGAGGTTTTCATAAAACTAAAAAAAAAAAGGTGAGTATCCAAAGGACACAGATCTAAAAGGTGAATACTTTAAGATCCAGAAAGGAAATTAGCTTTTTGATTAAAAACCTGCAAAGAGTTCCTGATCTAGCATACAACACTAGAAGAATGAATTTACAGACACTATTGGAAGGTCAAAAGGGGTTAACGTGGAAGACAATAGGGAAATAACAGCAACTTGGAACACTTTCAAATGAGCTGGTGCAGGCACAATGGGTTCAATAGACTCATATTCTGATTTAGTGATATGCAAAGCATAGGAAGAGAAAATTGTTTAACATTTAAGGATGGGCAAAGAAAAACCATTTTAATAAGCACCACTGGCACTCCCAGAAGTAATCCTTTCTCAGAATAATAAAAAAACAAATCTTTATCTGGGGTGGCAGTGACTTCAGCTATAGCACATCTAATGCACCATAGGTTCAGGATACATGCAGCAAACTCAATCTCTAAACTCAGGACAATTTTACATCAAAAATATTTAATAGATTCATTGCAATGCTGCAAGATTTGTGCAATCGTGCACAGTTGCTGTATTATGACATGTAATGCAAGTTCATCAAGTCCTATGCAAATTTCTAAGGGAAAGAGGACCTTTAGTAGGCCAAATATGGGCAAGACACAAAGTTTTAGTAGTTGAGACATAAATCTCTACCAATTACCAGGCTCAACAGGAGAATTCTAGCAAGTTAGCATTCTGTTTTGCAGTCACTATCAACAAAACACAGCTGCGGATTATGATCTTAGTTGCCGCATGGTTGTTGCTGGAGCTCAAGTACTAGCATTCTAATTAGTTACTGAAAATGGCAGTGTTCAATTTGCCTTTTATCCTGTTCACAGAAATACTTAATGACTTTAGTAATCAGTTTATTACACAGATTAATCATTTTGAACATACAAGCTCCAGGAGAGCCTTTGGGTCATTAAATATACACAAGTTCTGTCATGAATTTTTACCCTTACATCCAGATGAGGCTTCTAAGATTAGTTAACAAAAACAAAAAGAAAATTAGAGCTATTAGCTACTCATTCACTATAAGCCAAATATAAACCCAAAAAGGTATTGAAAACTGAATGACTGGTTAACTAATAGCTCCAATCCATTTAACTGTTATGGGAGATGATTCAAATGGCTGTTCAATTTTATAGGACACAAGTATGCTTTCAACTTTCCATTCCAACGTTTAACTAGAATGTAGATTTGCATTCTTAGCATAAAAATTGCAAAACATTAAACAAATTAAAGTTCTTCATTCTATTATTCATAACCATTATGAGTTTAAAAGAATTCCAACATACATCTTATAAAAGGAAGAGTTCCCGCCCCCGGAAGCACTTAAACCCTGAAATTTTTTAAACAATCTTGTTACAATGACTAGGAATGCTTTTAGTCTCACAAATGTTATGATCGAAGAACTGGACATTAACACTTGCTTTGTAAGTAGTCAGAATTTCAAACAATTGAGAAAAGGGGCATTTCTATCAGCTGTTCCAAATATGTACACAAAACAACGCAGCACTGCTGGATCAGGTGAACATGTGCACAGGGGAAGAGGCGTGGGCTCAAAGAAAGCAGTCAAATGGAAACCAAAGAAATTTGTTTTGCAAGTTCCCCCAGCTGTATAAGAGGTTCGTTCATCAACATTTTAATGTAATCACATTGCATACTTCTGAGTCCATTCCCGAGCTATTCTGTTGTACCTGCAAGAAAAACAGGAAGTGAATATATCAAAAATAGCTTCAGCAATTTTGTTTTAAAGCTTTTAAATAGAATCAGCTAACACAGAAAGAGAGCCCTTTCAAAGAACAGCCACATTGGACTAAATAATTCCTCCACCTCCTTCCTTCCCCAAAGTCCTTAAATTTTAATAAAACATCAAACTTGAATATAATAGTTCAAATAAAATTCTAATACTTTTTGTAGTTGTACATGCCCTCATTATTAGTGTTCTAATCAGAAATATTCTAGTGTAAATTTGGTACAATAAAAAGGAAAATATTAAAAAATGTCAGAATACAATTACTTTGCAGCTGACTTGGCAGCCATGAGACAATTCAGCGAGACAAATGCTAAATATTAAGGCATTACTTCAAATTTTAACTAAATAAAAAAAGTTTACCTGCCTATTAATTTCAAAATGCAACATTTTAAACAAGGCAGGAACAACTGCTATACATTCAGCTGAAATGCTATAATCTAAGTCAATATAAAAATCAAATGAGTAAATCAAAACAGAATACACAGAAACTCAAAACTTCTTCCATCATTTGAAAACATCATTATATACTTATGGACAGTCTCACTACAGATTTCCACAATACATTTTGTTCAGAACACTGGTTTCTTCAATGCAGTATTTCCTGTTCAGGATTAATAAGGCTAGGTGCTGACTTGGTTAACACCTTGGAGTTTAACTACCTGAAACATAATACTCACTTTTCTCTATCTGTTTTGTAGATACGTGCAATCTCAGGCACTAGGGGATCATCTGGATTTGGATCACATAACAGTGAACAGATAGACAAAAGAACTGAAAAAAGAGAGTTAAAGTTAAGCGGTGATGTGAATTGTATTACTTGGTTTGCCTATACAGTTTAGAACATAATTTTAAAACCCTAATTTTATTTTTAAAATGCTTGAAGTGTACACATTTGCATCCAGCCTTAGAAATACATTGCAACTGATAACACCTCAACCTAAAAGATGGTAGAAGTTTAAAATACACTTTCATTTATACATTTTTTCTACCACTGTAAAGGGTAGCTAGTGAACAAGTCAACATGGCATTTTATAAAAAAAAAAATCAAAGATCAAGTATAATCAACCTGAAGCAGAAGCTTGGAAGTCAAAAACCTAAACTGAATAGTACTCAAATATTTAATCCCATAACCCAATTTAAGGAACAACAACATGCACAAGTCCCAGAGTTTTGAATTTCTATTATGTGTTACTGTTGGTACAAGACAATTCAGCTAACCCAACTGCCATAAAACAGCAAAATCATAGAAACTGAAAGACGTTTACTTTACTATGTCTGTACTAGCTCAGTTGCAGCATTTGAGTTTTTAATTCCAGTTCTGCAACCTCTTCGAAGACATTCTGAAAAGGGAACCAGTTCCTTTGGACAATGTTATATAGCCTTGCCTCAATACCTATATTTTAAGTGCTCAGCAGTCTAACCACCCTGGTAAAATCCTCATTATGACATTTTGTCACCAATTTGGAAAGAGGTAACAGGTTGAGCATTCAAAGATTCAAAATATAGCGCAAATTAATTTAAAATTCTCCAATAGTCAAAGCCCAATCAAGTCTAACAAGCCTTTAACTTACCCCTTTCCACAGTGCTCTCATCTTTCAGGAATGGCATTTCTTCTGCTGCACAGTTGCTCCCTGATTTGCATGTGAAATAACTGGATTTTTCTTTCAGCAAGTGCTGCCTCAACTGTGACAATTCATGTATTTCAATACCGTCTTTAAAATTTCCATGCACATAAATCCAGGAAAACACTAAAGTCTTGCATTTTAGGATACAATTTCTTTCAATCTCTAACGGTACGTTTCACATTTCCCTGCAATGAACTGCATCCTGTGCTAACATATCTACTCCACTAATCTTCCTGCAGTTTGGTTTGTTGTATTTTTCCCTAGTTTGAGAAGTGCAATTTTGTACCAAAGTTTAGCAATTCATAAACACTTCTAAATTTAGATTTTGCTTGTTAACTGGGGGGGGGGGGGGGGTTAATTGAATTGAAGGGGATTTGGCATGGGTATAATGGAGCCAAAAGACACGCAGAAATTAAACATATCAAGGGTGACCTTTAAAGTAATGATGGTTTTAGATATCTTCCAGATCTATTTCTTCCTCGTGGGAACGTAAAGTGCAAACTCTTGCTCTCTGAACAGTAGCAATTAGAAAACAGAAAGCAATAGAAGAAAGGGCACTTCATGTATATCAGCTTGATAGTAAAGGAAGAAAGAACAAGGCCGCTAAGTACAGAGCACATCTGATAAAACAACAGCAGCACAGACAGTATAACCAAGTAAGATTCCACAATATATTTGGTGAAGAGCTTCTACGGATCTACTCAGTAAAAGAAAGAGTTCTTAGAGAGAGCAGTGGGCCTGATTAAGTAGAAAATGCAGTTGCATTGGTGCAGGCAAATGGCATGGTCAAGATACTCAGTGGAGTACATTACATTGGTGTTTTCCAAGGGAAAGGACAGTAAAAGCTTTGTTAAATGAGGATTTGCCAGGTCACTGGCCAGGAAAAAAGAAGAGCTGGCACTAGGAAGGCTGACAGTACTTCAAATAGATAATTGAACCTGGTCTGGATGGGCCAAAGTTGCAGAAGAAAGCAAGGATAGATTTTGTAGAAGTGTTAGTTAAAATGTTGGTCAGAACCTTCTTAGGTACAGGAGCAATGCCAAAAGACTGAAGAGGTGAAAATATAATATCACTCTTTAAAGCAAAAAAAGGATGAAGGGAAATAGACAAATGTAGCCAAGTTAAATAAACAAAAATCTGGAGGAAATCAATTTCTTGGACATGCATGGACCTTCATTATTAATCAAAACACACATTCAAGACAAATTGTGTTTGAAAAATGTGACTGAATTTCTTGATCTATAAGTTGGGTGAAGACAGCACAGCAGATATGTGAATAGATTATCAAGGGAATTTGATTAGTTCCAAATATTGAGCTTGCTAGCAAACTAGAAGCCAGTGGGGAAAACAGGACTATGGATACAAGGCTGGTAAAAACGTGTGCTGAGTCGCTGTTAATGCATAACAATCCCAAAATTCGTACATGACGAAGTTTGAAAGTGTAGTAAGTTTTGAGGTTAGGTAGGTTTGTCAAGCAAAAAGTGCGATAAAATTCAATCCAGAAAAGCACAGGTTGATCAAATATCTTCCTGTCATGAGAGAAAGCACACGCCAAATGGTACAACTTTAAATGGGATGCAAAACAGATGGATTTGGGAAGGCACAAACTGATGAAGGCGGAAGGATGTGTTAAAATATAAAAGGAACCTGGGCATTATAAATAGGGGCAGGGTGAACTGTGATAACAGGTGCATAATTACACATGTTTTGGGATCTGGATTTCAAAAATGCAGATAGATGGTTGTTTGTCAATTCTGAGAAAGTAATGTTTCATTCAATAAGTCATTTGGAAAGATGACCCAAGTGCATAAATCCCACAAAGCACTGAAAGCAGTTAATTAGGTCCTCTGTCATGTTAATGAATAGAATACTTATACTGAGTTTTTAAACACAAAGTCAGTTGGTTTAGTTTGACTTCAAAAGCAGAAGAATAAGGAGTTCAAGAAGGGAGAACAATTCGTTCATGCAGGGGAATTGGGCTTTTAGGTCGGGGAAGCAGTCACCTGAAGTGGTTTAATCTGCAGAGCTTCTAAGCCAGGAGAGCCTTGGTAGCAATGTACTGCTTGCGAGAACTGAAAAAATTGACATCACAATTTTGAAATGTTCATACCAGTGCACCCAGAAGGAAATCTTAAAATTGCTTGCAAGGTCCCAAGGAAAATAAATTGGAGGGGTCAGGTAAAGTAAAAATGCAGAATGGAGATTGGGAAATTATCTGGAATTGAAGTTTGCGTAAAAAGGATAGTGCTGGGAACAACCAACCAAGGAACAAGAGTCAGCCACTCAGCCCTTCAAGTTTGCTCTGCCATTCAATAAGATCATGGCTGATTTGATTTCAGTACATACCCCCAATAATCATTCATCCCTCTGGTAACAGAATCTGACAAAAGTATTTCAAGATTCTGCCTCTGCTGCCTTTTAAGGAAGGAAATTCCGAAAATGCTCAACACTAAGAAAAACGGGTTTCCTAATCTGTTTTAAATGGGTAACCCCCTACTTTCACACTACAAGGGATGGCATGGTCATCAAATGGTCAGTACTGCTGCCTCAGTGCCAGAGACCTGGTTCGATTCCACCCTCAAGCAACTGCCTGTGTGGAGTTTGCACAGTCTCCCTGTGTCCTAAAGTCTCCCACAGTCCTAAATGTGCAGATTAGGTGGATTAGCCATGGGAAATGCAGGGTTACAGGGATAGGGTAGAGGGGCAAGTCTGGGTGGGATGCTCTGCAAAGGGTCGCTGTGGATTCGATGGGCCAGATGGCTTGCGTCCACACTGTAGGGATTCTATGAAGCCCTAGCGCTAGATACTCCCAGAAGAGGAATTGCCTTATCCACGTGCACCTAGTCAAGTTCCTGGAGGATCTTGTATATTTCAATTAAGTCATCTTGGACTGTTCTAATCTTCATAGGACGTAGGCCAAACTTGTCTAAAGACTTCCCTTATAAGGCAACCTGCTCTTTCATAAGCTCTGGTTATTTGCTACAACAAACAAGAATCGTACTCTTTATTGTGAAATGTATTTAGGATTACACTGCAGAATGTTTCTTAATGTTACAGTATTTACAGCTAGATGCCATGTTAACAGTTTATTGGTGACTCCTGGGAGGTTAGTACTTGAAGAACATTGATTTTAAGATTAGTACCGGATTTCAGCTAAACAACAAATACCTTTTGAAATAGTTAATGCCGGGGACCATTGCGACCGTAGAATATCAAGACAGATGCTGCCATTACTGTTAATATTTGGATGATAAATTCTTGTTGTAAATGCAACCTAGAAAAATATATAGATATGAAAGTTATTTAAATATCAAGGCAAAGTTACATCAATGAGATACTTGATGCAAACAAGTATACTTGCCTTAGGTGGTTTAAAGGGGTAATCTGTGGGGAAGTGAATGGTCAAGAAAAATACACCACCCTGATAAGGACTGTCATTCTGTTGGAGAAAAAAAAAGAGACTTCAAATTCAATTCAATGTGTTTAAGATCCCACTCATCTCTTATGATTAAAAGTAGTAACTTTAACTCACCGGTCCCATTATTGTGGCTTGCCAGTGGAACACTGCAGAAAGAATTTTAAAAAGTCTTCAGTCATATATTAGTGTTGCTGTAGAAAGAATCAAGATTTTTTGCATAGTTTGTTTACCAACTTAGAAAATGTACTTACTGTCATCACCAACTGGACCTGCTGAACACTGTGCTGGTGGATCACGAGCCAAATCATTCAATTCCTATAGGGAACAATTGAAAAAAGCTTCAAATATTCTCATTCCCATATACAGTTAGGAGCTATTTATCCTGATTTGATCTATAGAACGAGATTACTGCACAGAAAAAAGTTACAAGTCTACAAAAACATCAAATAGCCACATCACTAACAGGCTAATATTCTTAAAATACTTCAGACTCAATAGAAATGTACCAGACAAGTATAATGATAGGATTGTGAAATAAACATTAACTTGAACTGGGAAATAAACCCAACGGAGTTACAGCCCTTCCAAACAGAGTTGCACTGATGGGTAGATAAAAAGGATGACCGGTAAAAGGGAAAACATGCTGCCTAATGAAAAATTTTCTGTCTTGCATGAGATCATTAGCACAGATCAGATGCGGAGGGGTGTTAAAACACAACTTTGACTAATATAGAATTCAGGCTCAACGCTTATAAAGTACTGAAGTAGCTGAGCAAGGTCTAGCCTTTTTGACAAGACATTAAGCAGAGGGTCCAAACTTCTGGTCACAACCGGTATTGTTCAATAATTTGTTAACCAGACAAGATGGCATTGTGGAATGTGTGTCTAAATACATCTGTGGTCCTACGTTTTCCAATTTATAGTGATTACAGGATGGCTTATCATCATGCAAAGCACTTCATAAATGAGAGTGCTGAAGAAAGTTAGTGAAATTCACATCTTGTTTCTGGAATTACTCAACCCTTTTATTGTAGCAAGAAAATAAAAGAACAACTGTGGAAATCAGAAAACAAAACAAATAGCTGGAGAAAAATCAGTAGGTCTGGCAACATCTGTAGAGAGAAAGCAGAGTCAATGTCTCAAGTTCAGTTCTTCAGTTCTCAAACAACTCCTATATTTGTTTTGTAGAAGCTCCGAGGAAGGGACACCGGACCCGAAACGCTAACAATGATTTCTCTTCACAGATGCTACCAGGGCTTCTGAGCAACTTGTTTTTGTTTCTTTGTTCTCTTGTTAGTTCTTTCATGAGGAAAACTTAAGTTTCATGCCTTGCTTAGAGAAAAAAAAAGATGATTCGTCACCACAAAATTATGATCATTGCTCAAGATCTGGGGAAAAAGATCATTTGAAAAAGAAATCAAATATTCTGATATAAATCTAAATCTTTCTGCAAGACAGGAGTAGAGAACTAGACTCATCTGTGAAGGGAAGTGCATGAGGAGGAGTATAAAAACTTCTTGACTCCCTTTGAAGGTCAGAGAATATTTACATTGAAATACAAGAGATTACAACTGGATGGACTGCATAGAGTGAAAGGAGTGTTTAAGCTGGAAGACATTTTTCATTCCAAATTACATCAAAATCCAAAAGCCTTTTTGATCCACACACCCCGCCACCCCGCCACCACCCCCCCCAACTCACTTATTTTCTCCATTGCAACGTATCAATTTAAACAGCAAGTCATAGTAAGTAACAAACTTTAAAGTATACATATTACAAAAAGGAAGTGGAAAACCATGCCAAATATTTCAGTTTCTCTTGTAACTGCAAGACTAAACCATAGACATCTGTACTCAAAAAGAACACCATTATTATAAAAAGCAAATCATTAAGAATGAGATGAGTAACCAGTATAAATGCAGTTTATTAAACTTCCAATGCCCACCTTTCCAGAGGGTAGCAAATATGACATTTAGTTATTGGTATAGTTTTAACTGTCAGGATTGGCGGGGGGGGGGTAGCGTGGGGAGGGAGGGAAATATATTCCTGGGACATAATCCATGCATTTATGGAATCTAAGAGTGAATGAATACAAGTAATGAATAAACTGTAAACTCAAGCTGTTCGGCCATTTCACATGGTCCAACTGATTTTCTACTTGAAATTGACTTTCCAACCCTCAATTCTTTAGAATCCCTCAATTTCTGCAGGATCCATGAATCAATTGATCCACATCTAGAATACATTAAACAACCAAACTGTGAAAGAGGATCACTTAGAACTAGTGAAATTTCAACTTATCAAAGAATGACCCTTAGGATCTAGAATTTCCAGGCAGGAAAAATAACTTAGCACAATCAGTTTATAAATCCTTTATTTGTACATTGAATTAGAGCACCTCTCATTCTTTTAAAACTCCACTGAACGGATGCTCTTTCGACCTCAATCAATTTGACAATCCTTGGCTGCATCCCTTCCAAGGTAAATACAATCTTAAATGGGTACTAAAGGACAAAACTGTGCACAACGTAGCAAGTACAGTCCTGTGTAATCATTCCAGAAGGATTTCATTATGTTCCCATTTCAAACACTTAAAAAAGGTGCTAGAACCCTTGCTGATATTTCATTAATTTTAATTTCATGTTTAAATCAATTTTGAATTCTTAGCTGGAAATGCCTGATGGACTTCTGGACAGCTTGGATTAAAAAGAACAGACCAAGCAAGTTTGAGATGACAAGCCTTGATTTAAAAGGTTTTAAAGAGACATAGTAACTTCCAAGAAGAGCAGTGTATTTAAATAAATAGCAGAAGGTTGCAATTAATGGAGGTCAGTGCCTGGGAATTGGTTCCATTAAGTCTGGAGAAGAGCTATGTTCAAGTAGATGACAGTTGGTGAATGTGATGGAGGTCTTGGAGTCAATTAGACTAATTCAGTCAAAACTAGAATTTTAAAAAAAAGTGTTTCAAACTGTGTTTTCTGAGAGATGGATCTGGGCTGCTGCTGACACAGCATGAAGACTTGAAAGTTCCCCACCTGAAACAGATACACCAGCTTCTGGAAGACAACAGAGCAAGCACAAGAAAAGCTGCATTAGAAGCATTGCTGCCTTGACCTAGGTGAACTGAGATGAGCCTGATCAATGTATCAGGATAAACAGCAAAGGATGCCACATTTATGCCCGTGAACAATGCATTACAAAAGACATGAGGATCCTGGCCAATTTTTGTCATTTACTACAGCAAACTGTTTTAACCAGTACACTCAATAAACCAGCAAAAAAAATTAGATACCTCAAATACCCAAAGTTTACTGTATCATCACGACCTCCATGATGTCCCAGTTAGTCAGGTGAGGATACGAGTAAGAAGGCTCTCTGCAAGTTTTATTTAAGGAATGGTTGCATGATCATTAAATTTACAGCATAAATCTCTGAAAAGTACAATGATTTGTACACTCCCTGCATTATTTTGTGTTTGTACACTGATAAGTGGACCTCTTGATCAACCAAAATATTTGATCAAACAGCACACTCCTGGTCCCACAGGTGCTGGTTAATACAAGGTTTGCTGTAGTTATTGCTCAACTGAGTATTTGTCTGTCTTTGTGAATGGGGCTGAAAACAAAAGTCTGGGGTTTATGACAGACATTAAATCAATTTATTGCACTGTTTAATTTGCTGATTTTCGTTTGCATTTAATAAATTAAGTCTTCTGTTTAAGATACAAAATTGGTGTCATGAAATTATTCAAAGTTGGGATTAGTTATTCAAAGATCTGGTCAGGAACTATTAGAGTGAATACTTGAGGACCTGATATATTTGCAACACAGTCAAACAAAACTAAGGTAGAAATAATGCTTTGTTATAATAGAGATAGACAGCTGAACAAGAAGTTGACAGCAGTTGCTGGCTTTAATTCAGTTATCATTGCAAATTGTATAGAAAGACAATCCCTCTAAACATTTACCTAATTAGTAAAAGATTGAGACATCTTGTGAAAGCCAAGTTTAACTCAGGACTCCATAAACGCTTGTAAGCATCCAGTGAAGGTCCAAATAGCCAAATCAAATACAATACTGACTAATGCAAAGAGACAACAAGGTGTAGAGCTGGATGAACACAGCAGGTCAAGCAGCATCAGAGGAGCAGGAAAGCTGACGTTTCGGGTCTAGACCCTAACGTCAGCTTTCTTGCTCCTCTGATGCTGCTTGGCCTGCTGTGTTCATCCAGCTCTACACCTTGTCGTCTCAGATTCTCCAATATCGGCAGTTCCTACTATCTCTGTAACAATTTTAACCCCACTGACTAATGCAAACATTTGTCAATGTTGTCAGCCAATAGAATTACAGTACCTCACAGGTGAAGACCACTGGGCTTGAGCTAATTATTTTCTAAAAGCTATCAATTCAGTCTTCTACAGCTTACAACCATAACACCCCCATAACCTTACAAATTAGTTCTCAATTACTTATATCCCTCAAATCTAATTCCACTTCTTCAAATCATCTCAACAACCCTCCAAAGAAACTCCTCAGTCCCTACTTCCTTTACTAATTATTTTTAAATCCATGATTTTTGTATACTCATCAACTCTTAGATAAAACAGTTTTTCTCCTGGAAAACTTCCATCAGTCTCACATCAAGTCAATTACATTAACTATTTAAATATTAAGTTGACAGTCTACTGTATAGTTATATAAGAAAGATGACATTCAATTCAGTTTTTACCTTCCTCAAAAATGCAGCAGCATTTGTATTCAAGGCAGGCTGAAACGAACTGGATTCCACAATGAAAAATCCAGAAATCCAAGCATCATATTAATTGATGCATACTTAATTACATATTTTTAAGAAAGATGGCATTGCGCACGTGTTTAGATCCTAGGCAACTGAACAATGCACGTCTACACAAGATTTGTAATCTCAAAAGAGCTTAATCCCACATTCTCAGGCACCAGGTATTTTCCCACCTCAAATGCCAGGAATGGATATTGGCCCATACATCTTTCCCCGACAAGATAGGAACAGTAACTTCTTAGAAGACCTTTTCGTACATGCCTTCAGATTCCCATTTGGTGGATCAGTTAGGACCAACTTGCCAACAATTTGATGACGGTAGCACAGATGACATTGCAATTCTCAAAAACTAAACATAAAACTTCCCATTAGTTATCAAAGTGGCAGGGAAGCATGGGAAAGAAATTACACATCAACAAGCCAAAAAAATCACATCAGCTCAATATATTAGTCTACCTGCATTTGACCTTATCAAAATGGAAGATGTACAGAAGGCTATTATGCTGCAAGACAAAAAG